AAGAGCAACCCTTGGCAACACACGGATATCCTAGTCTCACTTTGTAGTTCCACTTAACCCCTGACCCTGAAGATCGCCCGAGAGAGAACGGAGGAAAGGATCCCAGAACGACCCTCGTTCCCTTTCTCCCTACGGTCCATAAAACCCTGTCGAAGTAGCTGTAGAAGATGGCTGAGGCTGGTGTGTTGTGCCCGGTATGGTAGCAGGTGAGAGGCTGGCGCAACCTCCGCCCCCGGAGAATTGCACGATCAGGGAAGAGAGCTGGACTACGGTCAGGGTGAGCTGCGCCGAGAGCGAGTACATCGACCCGCGCACCGCCACCTACGTCCTGCAGGTCTTCGACGCTGACACCAGGCATCTGTTGGCCTCCGCGACTAGCACGACGCCTAGCAAGCTCGAGATCACCAATCTGCCTGCGGAGAGGAGCGACTCCGGGCTGGTGCTCTCGCTGAGGATCATAACGAAGCACGCGACCAGCGACGCCACGATTCTTCACAGCCCGCATTTAGTTCAGGAGGGTAAGACACAGGAGCACCAACGATTCCCAGGTAGGGGCCAGCTAGTGTTCGATTTCGAGTCAGCGTGCGCCATCCGCGGGCTAATTTTTCATCGCAACTACGAGCCCGGAACGCGCTCGTACACGTGTCTGCCCGCTTCATCCCCGTTGCTCCTCTCCTCACCGAGCAAGGAACATACTTCTGTTTATCTTCATTTATTTTTCTGTTCCGTTCAGGGTGAATCAGTCACTGATCAAACGTGGATCGTTTTAGAAGAACATTTGTTATAATCGTGATCGTCTTTGAAACCAAGCATTTTTATTTCATACAGAACGCACCGGAATATTCCAACAAAGTATCTCGACAATTCTTATAATACAATACAAATTCATGACAGCAAGGATACTTGCGTGTTCTTCATAAGAATTGAAAGCAAAATTTGCATTCATATGACACGTTTTACTCCAAATGGTCTCACCAACGTTTTCCATTTATTCCAAAGCACTCTGCGAGTCGTGGATCAAATCATGGAACATCCCTTATCAGATCCTGTCCAATGCTCGTACGAAGTTCACGAGGCAGACAGCTTTTCTCAACTTTACGTTATCGTTTCTATACATTGGCCTGTACTCTTTTAGTGTAATGGGCCAATCAACTCTCGACAGGGACAGCTTCCGTCAGAAGCGTCGAATCTGATTCAGAGCTAACTGGCGAACTAAATGTTCGACTCCGAGTTAGTGGCTCTACCCTCTGAACTGTTCCCAAATTGAAATCCGATCAGAATTGTGTTCGTGCTACCTAGTTAGCCTTCTGGTTTGAGCGTTGCGCATCATCGATATCGAGATTCGACCCGTCGATCTCTCCACAGTTGCCTAACAGACTTTCTTCCACACGTCGCCTCTCGTATCCTAAAAATCGTTTAAGCGACAGAAATCCAAAATTTGTAGGTTCGACAGTTCCGTCGTATATAAATTTCTATCGTTAAACACGAATTAAGTTTCTTTGCACGAGGTGCGACCATCGAAGAGAATTAAAAATAGTAACGTACTGCACGACAGAGAGATTGTTAACCCAGACAGAAATTCAGATCTACGTAGCCACCGCTGCCAGTTAAATCAGCGATCAGCGACATTGAATTGGCAATCGGCGGCAGCATCACAGTATCAAATTATGCTGTCAAACGCGGACCGATAGCTAATCCGGAATTCACGATGACCCAACCTAATCCAGACTTAATCCGGGATCATGTAGAGATCGGTCGGGGCCGCCGTTTTAATCATTAAATCATTGGATCATCTCGGGTAAATCCGACTGAAAATCTGATCCAAAATTAACGTTTACCCGCGGACGTTCCAAATTAACCGAACCGAATTCGGGTACAGCGTAAACACGGAATAAACATCGTTGTACAACGTCGAGGAGGTCGTCGAGTTTCACCGACGGTCAAAGCTGACTGAGAATCGGTGATGTAGTGCGATGTAAAACTAATCCCGGCGCCGACCGACGCGACTGACCGAATGGAATTCAATTTTGCAGCTAAACCCTTGAATCACCTTATCGGGTCCTTTCGATCGACGGGAATACAATTCGAGAGATTAATCTACCTTCCTGTTCGATTTTGATCAACGTCGCGCTATTTGACATTAGAACGAACAGATAGAATAAATTTGCCTCTGCAATAGTATTGTTGTATTTATAGACTCCCTTCGTATTTTCATTTTCCTCTTTTATCTTACTGATGCCTCTCGAATACTTTTGACCCTTTAATCAAATTAATTCCATTAAACTCTTGGATCATCTCGCAGATCACGAATAATACTTTAACATAATTATTATTGAATGGCCGCGTTAATCGTTAGAGCGTTCCATAAACGGGGCACAGAAGCTGATTATAAAACCGTGGTCTCTCCCACGCGCGAATATGGAAATGGACGGCCCCCTCGTGAATTCGTGGTGAAAGGTCCTAGCGTATACATCCTGTAAACGGTTAGTACGTACACAGGAGAGAAGTCGGGGAAACTCCTGGCTCCAAGGGACACCACTAAGACAACCGTTTGTACGTGCGAACCAGCCGGAGAACGTTCAACCGAAATTGGTCTGCGGCTATACCCAGTCCTCCTTGTCACAGGGAAAAGAGACAGGGCCGCGTGGTTAGCTGAAGCCGGGAGCTGGGACAGAGAAAGAGAAATGACAGCTCGATAAACGCGGTTCTTGCGCTAGTTCCATAAACCGCTTGATTAGAATAGGGAATGATTTTCGAATACGGTTTTGATTATTTTGATAGAATTACCCTACCTTCGATATGATTTCATATTGCTTCATTAAGACCAATTATAAAATAGTTTGTTAATTGCTTGTAAATGTAATAATAATTGTCAGCTTTTAGTCGGGCTTAAGAAGCTTTAGAATTAACAATTATTTTCGATCTGTATAAAAGTAATGGTTTTATAAAGTATTTGAAAAAACTTGGGAAAAAGAGTTTAATATAAATTCTCTGTCACGTTTAGATTATTGCGAATTAAGAGTATTTTCAACGAAGCGGAACTGGATTCCGACGGAATATAAAATCGCTTTCGAGTTAACTGGATTCCATCTTGGGAAGCGTCAAACCTCGTCCGCGCTCGAATCCGTGCAGACGGCCGGTGCCTCCTGCGTTTAATATCAACTTAGAATCGCGGACGCAGAACAAGAGGTCTACTCGTTTAGAGGAGTTCGTGAATTTAAGTGGATTTTGATTAATCTCGAACTTGAATGCCAGGCCGTAGTTCTCTGGACAGTGCATCTGAATCCCAGATTCATTGCTGGCATGGCGTAACGATAATTCACGATCTCTGCAAACGCGTCGTCCGTTCCGGGGATAATCGTGTTTTAATGGGAAAAACCGTGCTAAGCCTCTTTAAATTCGCCTGATCGTTAAATTAAGAGGTAATATCTTCTAAATTGCGAATTTTATAGACAAATGAAGTAAATACTCGAATAGTAAAATGAAATTATGAAATGCGGTTTAACATTGCAATGATGAAACCTTCGACCTTATGCAATTTTTAATGAGAACGTAAAATATTCGTATTAAGTAATTTACAGAACATAATCTTAACACATGTTCTGTCGTCTCTCGTTAATTACCAAAAAAAGAAAACTCGATTTCGCTTCGTCTGATTTTAACGATTCGTGGCAAATGTTAACGCGGTTATTAGCGCTTCGGTTCCGGAATAATCTGAATCGGCTAATTGGCGGTCAGACGTCCACTTATATACATGGATCAGCTCTATCAACCGAGAACGAGCCACGTGGCAGAGACGCGAGCAGGAACGGACGTGGCAACGTTACATCGGCGCGGTAATATAATCGATTAATCCGAAATTAGCCGGTTCGGTTAATCCGCGCGAGACAGTTGGCATCGAAACGAAATCGACATTTCCGATCGGCCTGATTAACGTCATTATGCCACGATGCATCGCGTAACACCGGGAACCGATAGCGGAACTATTATTTGGTTGTATTTTAAAGCGTGTGAAAATGAAAAAAAAAATACAATTAAGTACAAAAAAACATTGAAACAATCGCGAGACGACAAAACTGTAAATTAAGCAAGTGCGAAAATCTCTTTGATTAATGATTTTCCAATAATTCCGATTTCTAATGATTTGAAAAACTCGCCAATCTTCGCCGTTGTCCCTCGATCGAAACACGGGTCATAGTTTCATTCGGATCGGTGGTCGGGATTGTCGTTCGCGAGTTTTCAAAAAGTAGCGACAAGAGAAAAGGATTGAAGGGGAAGTGGCTTTACGATCGCGCTGAGGTACACCGTATCGGGACCCGGTACATTTTTACGAGCCGCCTTTTACGACCGTGTCACGGTGCCCCGTCTCTTTCTTCCCTCCGGTAATACCCGGCCTTTTCGGCCGCGCGGCAACGCGACGTGGAAACTCGGTGGAAATCTGTGCACGCTTTTAGAACGTCATCATTTATTTGACGCGTTTCGTTCATTCATTTGCCGTGGCAGCGGGTACGCTGAATGGTCCATTTTCGTCTTTCCACCCTATTGTCTACGAAATTGTTGTTGTTGTTCTCGAGGTGAAATGGTTTCCACGCGGAAACGGGAGCAGCTTTTTCTGAGGGACACTTCGTGAGTGCTTTTTTTCGGCCTCGGAGACGTTCTACCAAAGAGGTTTCAAAGTACGTTCCCTTCCGTCCGCTCTTATCTGCGGGAATTGTCGCGTAATTTGTCCCTTTATCATTCTATACACCACGGGATTCAATTATTCAGAGCGCGTCGAATAAAAAGGACGAACAGTATTGAGTACATATGACTAATTGAACATATAATGATTATTATTTATTAATACAATTCGAGCAACTGTTCCAGTTTCCTTTAAAATTTTTGAAACGATGAATAATTTCGACCGGAAAGAAGCCTCGGAGTATCATTCCTCCGGGCAATAATTCTCCGCGGGTATTTCCTCGATAAATTCCCGTAGAAATTCTCCGTTTTGTTCGCGGACGAATAGAGTGGAAAGGTTAACGCGCGGTGCGACGTAGAACGAATGGAAAAAGTTTAGGGCTCACGGTGACTCGTGGATGAGAACACAGTAGAGGAACACGTGTCCGATATAGGAACGCACATACGTGTAACGAGATATTCTTCTGCTTGCAACGTGACGCGCTTTCGCTTCTGATCGTAGATCTGTGTTTCACCTGTCCCGCTGTAGACACATTTTCATTGCATGCGAATAGTGGAGAAGCCTTAGCTACGTTAACGTAGCGTACGAATGCAGTATGGAACGTGCCTAGATGACGCACAGCTTCTTTTTACACCTCGAACGTAAAGTTATTAAAAGGCTTTGACGAAACTGATGTGTAATTGATTGACGCGGTTCACAAAACCAAAGGGGGATTAAAGTGTAAATTCATAAACGATTGAAGTACGATTCTCTTTCACAGCTTTGAATGTTCAATCTTAATGAACTATTATTTTAAATTAAAAAGAGTTAACAAATAATATTATAATGCAAACGAGTCAACGCTTTTACGTTTGACAGATTATTTAATTTCAACGTGCAGTAAATCCTGTGAACTGCAGTAAAATCGTGGCCGCGTGCAGAATTGAAAAATGTACGTGCGAAAGTCATATCACACGTCGTATCCTCGACAAACTATTAAACGTGTCGCAGGTGTGAAATATTTGTACGATAACGTCCTGAGAATCTAGCCTCTCGATAGTTGCCCTTAACAACAGTCGTTCAATTAACTTTGGTCGCAACAGGAAACGACAATCGCGCGAGTCCAAACGATAATATTTCATTTACATAATTGTCGATGGTCGAATAGGAGACGTATTCGAGCATAGTTAATCAGCCACGGCGCTCGTTTATTATCAGATATTAATCCATTATTAGCTGGGACGCCGAGCGAGAACGTAAATCAACCCGGCGGCCGAAATTGCGCGAGCGAATAAATCACAATCGCGCCCGAACGTTGCTTGAATTTCTTACGTCGACGCATATGCTTCCGAACCGTGTAGCGATATTTTAACATTTCTTTAGTCAAACAAAATTTACGTGAACTTAAGAAGATTGAGATGTTTATCGTTTAAAATTGAAAGAAAAAATTTGCATTTTGAACAGACGAAAACGTATCTTAAAAATTCTAAGGATTCTAACATCTCGTATTCCGATTCATTAACCAGACGTAACACTGATCGGCGTAATCGATTTTCTTGCGTTTCTCACTGAAGCGTGTCTATTCCACTTGCGCCGTCCGGTATGACCCTCCATTGAGTCCATCTACTTGAAGGATCTTGTTCTTCTGGTCTGACTATAATCAGGTTCATTCTACTAGCCTCGCGAAACAATAGCTTTGTATCACTTCACTCCATCTGGTCTACATCATATAGAAATGATCGGCCAATTCTTAATCACGATCACATCTTCTAACAAGATTCATATCATGGGACGTATATCTCCTTTTCTTCTGCTGTTTCAACTCCTATGACCTAATTGCACTTAAAACGATTTCTTAAAAGGTTTTCTGAGGGTACTAATAATTTATTGTTCTATCACCGAAATTCCATGGATATCATTACATAATCATACATAAGCAACACTGAAACTCGTATCCACAACAATCGCGATTATCATTTTATTTTCTACCGAATATCCGTAGCCACGAGAATTATATCCCAAAATCCAATCCTGTAACCGATGAACTCCCGCAAGGAGATAAGGCAAGCAGGAAAACTGAGGATACTTAACCGGATTTCCAGCATTGACACCGGTGATGTTGTCGCTGTCCGGACCACTGCTGGGAGCGGTGGTCGGAGCAACGGCGGGACTTCTACTGGTGATCTTCGTGATAGTCCTGGCAGTGAGATTACGGTATCGACCGAGGCCTCAGGAGGACAAGGACTCTCACGACGACGGCGGCATGGCAAACCTAGCCGCGTCCGGCACCGGCAGTTCCTCTCCACGTGATAAATCGTCGACCCTGCCTCTCAACTCGGACAGCATCGAGAGCTTCGAGAAGGACCCAGACATAATTCCTCACGCTAATGGTAGGTAATTTAATGAGCATTCCACGCGTTAGCCCACGGCTGCTGGCCAAGACGTTGATGAAATCGATTCTTCGGTTAAAATTGATTTTCTTAAACAGAGACAAGTGAAGCCCTTAAAAATGCATTAATTAGTTTATACAATTAAGCTATTAAAAATTAATAAAGCATAGGTTTAATATTTTCTAAAATAAAAGAGAAAATTAAATCGGGTAATTAGAGTTGAATGAATACGTCGCTGATAAATCTTTTCTGAACAAGATACAATGTAATGGGAGAATCGAATACATTTTATAGAAGCTGATATCACGGGTAAAAGAAATTGCGGCAATTAGCTCGTTACGAACAGAAATATGGCTCTCTTTAAAGACTTCCGTTTTTCTTTGCTCCTTAAATGCTTTACGTAAGAGTTTTTAGATATCTTTGTAGCGAACATTGTTGGAATGAAGGAAACGTGTAAATATAATGGAATTCTATCGAAATTTTATTATTAAAAAAGAACTAGTTGATTGGGCAGTTATCGGTCATTTAGTGAAAAAGGTTCGTTGCTTTAAACATTATTTGTAATTATGTTTCCGCAGAAAATTCCTATGCTGAACTGTGCAAAGGCACTTCACCGCGCTATGTGTTACATCAGCCACGAACAGATGCAAGCACTTTTACAAACAACGTAAGTGTAAATTACATTAATATAATTTACATTTTATTAGAATCTTCAATTTGAACGGTCGACGAAGAATAAAGAATGCTTGCTTATTCTATCTCAAATAATGATTTGTATAATCGTTAACGATTTACCCGTACGATATTCCAGGGATCAGAGTTAACGTACGCCGAACTGTCGCTCGGCGGCCGACGAATACCTCCTAATTGTTATCAGCCGGTACAGGTATCCAATATTCAGCGGCCTCAACTGCTTCCCATGTCGACTCTGACGCGTAGGCAGCTAATCCAGGAACCGACGATTTACGCGCAAGTCGCCAGTCATTCTAAGCCGATTTATGTGCCGCCCCCACATCCGTACATGAATCGCGGCGAAGAGACCACAGCGGAAACTCCATTAATTGGACACGACAATAAGGTGACAATTAGTTCGATTTATTTATAGGGACTACGTTTGTTGTTCCAACTAGCTATTCCATTCCGTTCAAACACTAATTATTTTTTTATATAAATGCTATTGAAAAGATTGAAATATCACATATTTGTTAACAACTTGAGTTTTTTTATTAATAGAATCTATTGAACAATTTGAATCCTTTTGTTCGCAGATTACTACGATCAGTCAATCAGGCAGCTCCATATGGCGCACGGACACGCCACCGTCTTCTAATGCACCAACGACATGATTCTAAAGTCCGGTCTCGATCGACGCAACGTTTCGCTCTTAATACACGTTTCTCGATACACCCGCTAGAATGAAGAAAGGAGTAAAACTGTTTAATAAAAAAGAAGAAGGAACAATCGAAGAGACTATTACACGGGCGTTTCCCGTAGCTCGCTTGTGAGGAGCGACGTGGCCGACCGTGTTATCGTTAAACTTTCTCGTACAAGTGTTACAGAAAGTTCTCATTGAAGCGTGAACGATGAAAGTAATTTGAAAAGAATCCACACGCAGAAGTATAGTGCGACTATAATATGTATCATAAATGCTTTACGAATAATTTGTGTTATTATTGTAAAACAAGGAATGATAATCTCTTCTGAGTATCGAAACATGATTTAGAACAAAATTTCTGTTAATGAAATCCAGAACATAATGGCATAATTTTCCTGATCCGTGAAAGTAATCCAATCGGCGAGTCCTTTTCAGCCGTCCGTAAGTGAAAACAGATGCACATAAAAACGAAAACGAAAAGGACTCGAAGCACTGGCAGATTTCTTGTCATTCTCATTTATTCAATTTGGTAATACGAGAACGCAGTTCGATTTCGTTTGTAAGTGTTAACACATGTTGTCGTTCGCGATATAACCAGGAAGTACAATCAATGACGGCGAATCTCTAATAATTGTTTCTCTCCTTCGTTCAGTATTACATGTATGTATATTTCGCAGAATATAGCTCGTAGGGATACGATAGACTTATAACGACGATGATATATGTATATATAGATATATGTACGCATACAGGGTGTTCCGTTTGAATTTATATATATTATTAACCGAATTCGTTATTAGCAAAAGTATATTTCACTGTTTGTTACGAGGCGGACATCCTAAAATATGTACAAATCTTGAGGCAAAAACATGTCTTAGACATTTTCAGAAGAATTTCGGTTCTTTATAAACAGCTTGATTATCTGTATATTTCTGAATTGTTCATCCTGTATACGTGTACGATATTGTATAATTAAGCGTGCGTCGAAACTTGAAGGCATCGCGCGATGTTTGTTTTTCCGCAACTTAATTACATACTTATATATTGTTGGACATGAATGATGCGAGAAATTTCCATGTACAGATTTGAGGATGCGGTGTTATTATAACGATGTTACGTAATCAAGGATAGAATTTAAAAAAGAGAAGAATAAAAAAGGATGAGAAAAAAATTTGAAAAATTTTCTAAGTGATAAAAATATACGCGTCTGTTGATTATAATTATTAGACTCGTTCTGTATCGTTCGATCGTTACTCATTTTTCGAGCTTTAACCGTCCTTAAATGAGAGTGGGTGGTTCTTTTCCCCTTATAAATGGTAGGTATAGAATTGTCCTCTAAAACGCGTATTAATTTTTATTCAAAACGTTTGGTACTAATATCTTTATCTAGAATTTAGAACGTTTTAGTTATAGAGAATTTTATCTAGTAAGGTGATCGTATTCTTACTGAAAATGAAAACAAGACGGAAGATTATAAAATTTTTCGTAATATTCATTAGTGTCGTTAGGATTTTATTACAGAAACTCTATCGCAGCCAAAGTACCCAGTTTTTAGTACTAACGTTTGCATTTCGCTAGAAGATATCATTAAGAGCTTTAATTTTCTAATAATATTTCCAACTATGTTTTTTCTTATTCTAATTATATAGGATGCGTATTACTTTCCATCTGGCCTCGTACTGATTTTATAAAAATATGAAATTATCTCCAAGATGGTCTATCTTTATTTTATATTTATTATCGTAGTTATAGTCTTTTAACATGAAAAGGTGTAATTGTTATAAACAAACACGAGAGGTATGATCACCCTACGTTATAGACAAGTTACCGATGAAGGGTCGCACGTTTGAAGAAAGGGAACGACGAAGAGATAAGTGTTCAGAAGACTTAGAATTTAGAATAAGGCGAAAAAGACGAAGATAATGAAATGTGCAAAGTTTATAATTACGTATAAATATAATACGTGCCATATATTAATTGTAACGTCAGAAATCGTTACGCATCGAAATGAATTTGAAGTTGTTGTATAGCCGGATAGTCTTATGCGTGATTGTACATACGTCCGCGGACGTTAATTCTTTATTGTATATTATGGTAGTACCTTGAGCTTCGCATTTCTTTCTCTTTTAAGATTCGACTTCGTTTCGAATCTCACTGTAGAATTTTGTTATAATTTCGGTGAACAACGCGTAATTTAGCATTCCATTATTTATGTCCGGATACAGCCGTAATTTAATTCAAGCTCGACGATTCGAATCTAAGGGAGATAAACGAGAGCTCGTTCGAGCTGGAAAGTCGGAAATCCTGTTTCTTTCAAAGCTCGCGCTTCTCGTAAACGATTAATGATAAAGTAGCGTCATTTTAGTCAACGACAATTTTATATCTACACTTACTTATGTCGTTAATATCAGATTAAACGTTTCTTCCATTCGATCGATTCTGAATTATCTCATAAGCTCGACTCACAATACATACGAATTTTATACCGTTTTTATATAAATCCAGTAATAATGTGACCGGAAATGTTTACGGTGCGGTCAGATTTACGGACGTTATACGGTTACATGTGCTGGAATATTTAATCAGAATCGAATGAAACTGCAAATCCTTTGTTATTCATCAAGTAAATATAATATTTTAACTATTATCTCGTCTATTCATTAAAAATATAATTTTGCACAAATAAATTCAATGTTTTATCTGGACGTAAAGTGTTCTTCAGAATTTCGATGAAGAACTTGCTGGTTTCATTCGAGCCTGGGTTTAATATTCGGCTCCACGTTTAACCATCTTCTGAAAATAGTGTGTGAATAAATAATGTGAAATAATAACGAAGTGCCGCTGTCGAGGACTCGAAGACACCAGTGGCAAAGCTTGGACGCTCTTCCGAAACGAGAATCGAGGAGCGGTTCGATTTCCCTGACCGATGACGGAACGAACCGTTCAACAGGCGAAATTTTCTTAATAAACACGAATTGATCAGGGTTTTCGAATAGACGCGCGTAAAAAATGCAAATTTACACTTTCGAATATTCTTTAAAGATAATTAACGAAGCGCGCACGGGAGATGTAGAAATAATGTGGAAACGTAATGAGGAGGAGGAGATAACATAAAAGGGAATAATTTAATAAAGAGTGACGGAGGAAAGAAATGTAAAACAAGAAAGGAGAAGCGATAGGAAAGGTGATGCGGAGAAATATTCAGTATTTTGTCAAAAATTCATATTACCAGTGTAATAAAAGACTTTGATATATTGTTAGTATGCGTTGTAGGTATTACGGAATGAATTTAAATATAAATATACACGATATACATGAGCATACGCATCTATAAACGTGTGTATTGTAATAAGGAATAATTAAGGTCTTATAATTTTAAATGACTTTTAATATAGGTTTACTTGTGTAAAATAAGAAAAAAATAATTGTGCTCAATAAATTTCAATAAATAACGATTTTGCCTATGCCAATAACAATTATTATTGTAATTATTTTTGTATAGAGACGTAAGATGATGTTATCTGGATATTATGAATATAATAGTGATCACATCGTATGTGTAATAAAAGTATTTAACATTGCATACTACATGTTCATAATATTTTGCTCCAATTAATGGAGCAGTAATGGGTACCTCATTAATTTGTATCGTTAACGTATACGGTTTTCGAGATATTTAAGGAAAAACGAAATTTTTTTTACCGGCATCAGTCAAGTGCAGATATCCATGGTATCGCCTGCTAAAGGAGAGTGGAATCGAACTAACATGCTGGCGGAAGAGGTACGTAGGGGACCATGTTGGGGGAAGCATCGTACGCTTTTCTGGCAGTGGCAAACTGGCAAGTGCAGGCAAGTGGCATGAGCGGCGTGAGCTGCATGAGGATTTTCATTTTATCTCTGTTAAAGTGTTCCGTTTCGAATTAAGGATTAAAATGAATGTATTCGTGAGAGAAGCGTTGCGTTTCAAATTAATCACGACATGTCATCGACTTTTACATACCGAAACTAAATGCCAACCGGAGTGGCTGAAACCAGTCGGATACGAAACGAATATTATGATTTATAACCCTTGCAAAGTGCCATTGATTTTGAAAAATAAAAATATATTGACTTGGTATGCATGTGGTCCGACTGTGTACGATTCGGCACATATTGGCCATGCAATGTAAGCCTCTTCTTCAGACTGTTCATCTTTTCTTTCTAATTATACATCCCTCAGAAAACTCTTCTGTTTTACTTGACAGAACTAATGTGCATTCAGACATTATCAGAAGGATACTAACAAACCATTTTGACATAAACACTGTAATGGCAATGAGCATAACTGACATTGACGAGAAAATAATAAAACGCTCGAGAGAGTTGAAACAAGATTGTAAGGATTTAGCAAAATATTATGAGAATGAATTCCTCGAAGATATGAAGATGTTAAATGTGCTTCAGCCTCATTTATACTGCAGAGTTACTAGTTACATACCACAAATTGTTCAGTTCATAAAGAATATTATAGACAAAGGCAATGCATATGTTTCCAAAGGTGGTAAAAAGATTTATATAAACATAGGAATTACCTTTCGATTTTAATTATTAAAATTGATTTCATGTATAGGATCTGTATATTTCGATACATGTAAGTACGGAATGTATGGTAAATTAACAAATCCATCATCAGTTGAGAAAAGTCATCCATACAAAAAATCTCCAATGGACTTCTGCCTTTGGAGAGCACATAAAGAGAATGAACCATTCTGGGAATCTCCATGGGGCCGTGGAAGGCCAGGATGGCATATAGAATGTAGTACAATTGCTAGGTGATATTTCTTGCTATGGAGAAACTGAATATATCTCAAGTTGCAATATGTAATATATTAAAATTTTTGAATTAGCGCAGTTTTTGGAAGTTGCATAGATATTCATAGTGGAGGAGTGGATCTTATTTTTCCGCATCACGAAAACGAGGAAGCGCAATCATGTTCTTACCATGAAGTGAAACAATGGGTAAACTATTGGCTGCACTGTGGGCACTTGTTTTTAGATGAAGAAAAGATGTCGAAAAGTCTTAAAAATACGATTAGTATAAGAGAATTCCTTGAAAAGTACACGGCAAACCATTTTAGAATCCTCTGTCTAATTTCCCATTATAGAACAGGTATGTTCTGAATAATTTCTATAAATAACATTAAATAGTATACGCTTATTTGAAAATGATAGCATTTGCTAGGACTCAAGTTCTCCGATGCTGTTATGAATAATGCAACGGGTACATTAAACAAGATCGAACACTTCATGAACGACTGTGATAATTATATTGCTGGAAGATGGAGTTTGGGCAATGTGGATGAAGTTAAATTACTTCAAGTTGGTTCATTATTGAATTTTATTACTTCACATAAGTTTAATCATTCTTTATTACGAATAAACATTGTATTTCAGTGTTTAGAAGAGACGAAAAGTACTGTCAATACCGCGTTAGCAGACGATTTTAACACTCCACAGGCCATGAGGTCATTGCTGAAGCTAATCGATGTAGGAAACAGTATGTTACATGATTCTCAGGTGAATTTGGATTTAATCATTCCTCAATATTTCATTTAATATTGACAAATCTAAAGTATATTTTATTTAATATAGAAGAGCGCGAGTACTTCTATACCTGCCGTAGCTGCAGTATTAAATTATGTGTCAACGACATTTTCAAATTTTGGTGTCTCAAATTCAACAAATGCAGCCGATCACATGATAAACAGTATCGTCGAAAGTTTTGTCAAATTCCGACGTACTGTTCGTACCAGAGCTATAGAACAAGATGTGAAAGATAAAGCGTTGTTCAACGCATGCGACCAAGCACGAACAGACCTCTTAACTTGCGGAGTAACAATCAAGGTATATAATTTTATGTCAGTTAGTTCAATTACTAGGCTGTGCGCTTTACGTCATCTTGTTTCCAGGATTACAAAACTGAGACCATTTGGAGTATAAAAAAATACTAAAATCAACAAATGCTTTTATACTGTAAATAAATGATTTTTAATAAAAATAAGTTTTTGAATTAATCAGCCGAATCAGTAGTAGTCCTTGCTTTTTTTGGACTGCTGTCATTACTGTCAACGTTTTTCCTCTTTGTTCCAGCTTTTTTCTCTGCCATTGTCTTTTTCAATCCCTTCATCTTCCTCGTTTGTATTCTGTTAAGCTTCTGTGCTCCAACATGTATGCGACCGAAGGTGCTTCCAAGATTATCCACAGACATATTCTTCTTCTTCTTAACCTGTGATGGGACATCGGGCACATACAAAAAATAAACTAATGCCAATAGTAAATTTCATTTTCATATAACGAAAGTATATTACTTTAAGTTCTTTCGGTTTCTTGCAAGCTTGTTTAAATAGATCTTCAGAAGCAAGTTTTGTACGCCTACAAATCAAATCTGCCCTTGGTCCTATTTCCTCTAATTCAATTCTTGGTATCCTCGAGTCAGACTTCTTCAATAGTATCCTAAACAACATTATATTAAATAACGTTTGAAGTAACATTCAAAGAAAACTGATAATCAGAGGACGTACTTATAACTACGTAGAAGTATCTTATTTTCAACAGCAGTGAAACTTAAAACGTGTTCCAGACCCTGGAGTCTGATCTTCTCGACAGGTTCCCTTTGGAACATGTCCACAAGCAAATTTTTAATTCTACTGAATTCATGATTATTATCAAAAAGTTCTCCATTGAAAACTAATAATGGTTTCAGCCCTTCTGAAATTTTCGGAACTTTAAAATCCCGTAGATCTTTATAATTCTCTATGCCGAATTCTACCATGTCTAGTAATGTGTGTTCGTACATTCTTCCCATTACTAGATTATGTGGCCGTTTTTTATTGTGCAGAGCCATCATGAAGAGCGGAGCATTATATTTCACAGCGAACTTTTCGATAGGCGTTACATCCTCAAATGGCAATATATCATTTTTCTTTTGCATCATCTGTGCATCCGGCTTTTTTAAATGGTACTGAAAATTAAAAATTTTTTATAAATAAATGTACAGTATCGTATATTTAAGTTTACTAGTAAGACTTACCAAATTCTTCATAAAATCCACTACTATCTGCGATGTGTTTTTACCTTTAAAACATAAAGTTTGTTTCGCCTCTTCGATTAATTTCGCTTCCTTTTTTAATATCGCACGTTTACCCCTATGGGTAGTAGGTTTCCTGTAATAAAATTTACATAATCCCATAAACAATTTTAACGTATTTCTTGAAACAAAAACTGAAAATACTGTCTATCAAATCATAACCATAATCAATCATTTTAAAGATCTGTTAAAAGTACTTACACGACTCTGCTTATTACAGTCATTGTAGTTACAGGATTTCGAAATTATCTTTCTCAATATATAAGAAATATTAATATTTCCGTATTTTTACTGTTTAAAACATGTCACCAGAACACGTGTTTTCGTAAACTACACACAGGCACAGCCACAAGCCACAAGCCACAAATACAATCAAGAATACGGAACATGGAAAGGGAAATATGTGTAACAGTTTTCTTCATTAAAATTGAATGATGTCTCATTACTAAAAATAATACGCCGCTGCATGATTTATTAAATACATTGTGTAATAATAAAAATGTCTGATATTAAATTAGCTCGATTCTATATAGCTGATCTTTGGTTTATGGTATACTTATTGGATACAAATACCGCATGCGTAAAATGAAATCGCGATCCAACGCAGCAGACGACGTGTTCCCCGGTGCAATGAAATGTTTAAAAAGTTCACCTATGCTGGAGAGCTTGTCATGATTAAAACGCGAGATACTACGATTTTTCTCGGCACGTTCCATGCGTAGGAGAAGATCATGGATCATTTAATCATCCTGGTGGCTTTGGTACATTTATTGTACTGCCCATTCACAAAAGTGGAGGAAAGTTTCAACCTGCAGGCTATGCACGACATCTTATACCACGGTTTTAATCTGTCCGAGGTAATTATACAATATTTATTAAAGAAGTATCGTAGAAAAACGCGAATGCTCTTAGACCGAACAATTAAAGGAAAGTTACGAGAGGATATTTATCCTCCTTGACAGGTTGCTGATACACAATCAAACGGATTATTACGCAAAAATTTAGATATTATATTTAGATGCAGATGCATGTATTTATAAACGTACGATCAGCTGATGTATACTTGGTTCTCGTACGATTTAAAAGTTTCCTATTATAACATTTTCTTCAGCGATCATTTTCCTCATAATACATATTACAAGAATTCGAAAAACTGTTCACGTTAATAGCACGTATATAGTACGATGATATTGATACGAACATGATTCAGTGATGAAGTAGCTATGTTTATGCACAATCGCCTTTTAGTATAATAGAGAAATATACTAACATATTCTTGTTCTGTGGTAGTACGATCACCATGAATTTCCCGGAGTTGTGCCACGATCATTCGTGGGACCAGTTATAATATCTGGCTTGGCGTCACCTCTAATAGCAACCATTAATTACTTGCAACTTAATAAATTTTTTGCTCAATACGTTGGTAAGTTGATTAATAGACCTCACTGGCATTATTCTGCTTAACATTTTATTAATATCGACACAGAAGTAATGAAACCAATTTTTTCTGAATCGTGTAATTAATACTTTGTTCTTTTTTCAGTAAGAGCCACGTTAGGCTTGCTAGTAATAGGTAGCTTAAAATTGTACAGAGATGCTTTACAATCCGTCTTTGGTTTGCAATTCACAAAATGGTTTGTCGCAATCACTGTAACACAGTATCATTTCATGTATTACTTAAGTCGTCCATTGCCAAATATAATGGTAATGCCATTAGGTAATTTGAAACAAGTATGGTCGCAAGTATTTTAATCATTTCTACCATGGAAGTTACTGATAGGTAATTATTCTTGTATTGTAGTACTACTGGCTTTATATGGGTGGTTGAAACAGAGTCATATATTATTTATTTGGTCGTCTGCAGCAGCAATAATAATATTCAGAGCAGAACTCGCCATGCTACTTGGATTATTTCTTTTGTACGATATAGCCAACAAGAAACTGACCATACCAAGGTATTTACATATTATATTGTGGACCGTTGATTCCTAGTACGGCTGTAACATTGCATTCAGAAGTGATTAGAATCATCAAGGGACCTTCTGCAAAACTGCACTGATTTGTAAGCTTCGTTTGCTTATAAAACTTATTAACCTAATGAAACCCTACTCAATATTAACTAAATAAAACGTATTTATCCATCGTTTAATAAATCATAGTGAGACATGTGCTGTAGTTGAAAGTAGAAAGCAGAATTAAAGTTAATGTTCATATAACAATGAGATGCATTTATCACATTAATATGTTGATGGAATAAAATAGTTTTATAAGAATGATCATTTTCTAGGCTTCTAAAAATCGCGATTCCAGCTGGCATAGTTTTTCTAACGCTGACGATCGCAGTGGATTCTGTATTTTGGAAAAGACCGTTATGGCCAGAAGGAGAAGTGTTTTACTTTAACACAGTCCTCAATAAGAGCAGCGAATGGGGTGTATCCTTTATAACATTTATTGTTATTCCGAATTTATTCAATGTGATACGTTTATTGAACTTAACATCGAAACAGACATCGCCGTTCTTCTGGTACTTCTATTCAGCTCTTCCCCGTGGACTAGCCTTCTCTTATTTCTTAATACCTTTAGGTATGTTATGGGACTCTCGAGTCAGAGCTTTGACTGTTCCCGGTATCGTGTTTGTAGCATTATTTTCGTTCTTGCCACACAAAGAATTGAGATTTATTGTATACGTCTTTCCGCTACTGAATATCAGCGCTGCAGCTGTTTGCCATAGAATGTGAGTAGCCTCAGTTTAATTATATTTAGTTCTTGAATATTTGAGTATATTGTACATTGATTTCTCTTCTAAATTAGATGGGAGAATAGAGCAAAAAATCCGTTCCATGGATTTTTGGCATTGATCATTTTAGGACACCTAGTTCTGAATGCTATATTTTCTATGTTTCTCTTATGCGTCGCTGGTTCTAACTATCCTGGTGGTTTGGCTATTGCTAAATTACACAGGCTCGAAAAAGATTCGATGGAGCCAGTATACGTGCATATTGACGTTCTGACTGCACAAACAGGAGTTTCAAGGTTTACGCAGACAAATAATTCTTGGATGTAAGTTACACGAAACTGTTTTAGAATAGAGAAGCTATTTATATGATACTATAATATTATCGATCATCTTTTTTAGTTATTCGAAACAGGAAAATTTGTCTATCGATAGTCCTGAAATGCTTCAATTTACGCATCTCTTAATGGAAGCTAAAAGCAAGTACTCGCCTAATATAAAACCATATCTTAAAACACATGACATTTTAGATTCCGTGGACGGTTTTTCTCACATAGCAATAAATTACAATATATTACCGCCAATAAGAATAAAAACTAGACCCATTATATTCATTATGAAAAGAAAGCCTAATGTAAAATATGATTTCAATAAAGCAAGGTCTCAGATCCATTTCAAACAATCAAATGACGTAACAAGGGAAATAAGAAGTAAAGACATCTTAAACGACACTGTAAAAGATATGGAACCAATATTAGACGAGATTATGGAGTCTCTAGAGCAATTTGAAAAACCGGTGAATATCAATGAGGCAAATGTAGCAAATATTGAAGTTCAACGAACGATCGAATTAGATAATATAAAACTTAATGCTTCTAAAAATATTGATACGTCGACTGTCGAATCTAATAATTTAGCTGAGAAAAATCTGCTTCATTTAGAATTAGTAAGTAAAGAAGAAGAATTAAGAGATTTATCAAAATTAGAAGAGAATTTTATGACTGAAAGCAATGTTAACACGCAGTCCAGTATCGAAAATGATTCTGACATTAGTGATAAAGAACTGTTCATTAAGAAAGAGGAAGATAAAATAGTTGATGTAGCTAAAGAGCCATTAAGAACTGATAATGTTCAACAGGAAAGTAGTACTTTAAAAGAAGTTGTTAAAAAAATTATTCAAGAAAAAATAGGAGCAGTAAAACTTAAGAAAGACGCATTAAACGAGAAAGCATTGCCAGAAGTTTCAAAAAAAGTTAATGCTAAAGTAAAGAGAATAATTCCAATAAAGATCGAATCTCCACAGAAAATAAAAATTATAACGAAACAAGTCTTGAAGGAGAAACCTCCAGTGGTTGAAGAATTAAAAGAAGAACCTTTAGTGATGGTAGAATTAAAAGAGAAACCTTCAGTGGTTCAAGACTTAAACGAAAAATCATCAATAGAGACCTTAGAAAAACCTGTAGTAGTCCAAGAAAAAATTCGTGAACAAAAACCAATCAATGTAAAAGAAAGTATCAGAAATATAATCAATCAATTTAAGGAATTTGAGAAAGATTTTATATACGAAGATTCGGAAATAAGTAGGAAGGATGCGGATGTTGAATATGACGAGGAATCTATAGAAAGGAAGAAAGAAGTCGCAGAAAAATTACCAGACACTATAGCAGAAACTAAAGACACAAAGACAATCAGAGATGCCAAAGAAAGTTTAAGGGATATAATAAATCAATTTAAGCAAATAAAGAGTGAATTAACTTCAGAAGAAGATGACCAATTTGAAATGATCGAAGAGACGTATATGGAGCGACCTATCGCAGAGACGTTAATGCAGTTTAGCGACGCTTTAAAAAGTTTAATACAGCGAAGGAAAATAAATAAGTCATTTACGGCAAGCACTTTGGAAAATGAAAAAGGTATACCGAGAGTACAAAGACCTCAGAAAGAAACTATGAGAAATTCTAAAATTCCAAAAGATTCTTCAATATATCCGAAAACACAAAATTATGCAAACGATAAAAACGTCCCATCGAATGCTCAAAAATCTATTAATAGCGTTTCGAGTGATGCAGCAAGCGACTATGCTTCCCAAGAAGCAGACGATATAATAATAAATTACGAAGACAGTTTAAACGATTAAACGTTAGAAATAGCCTTGCTCTTTTAAGCTTTTCGATGGTACAATTATATAATTATAGTAATATGTAAATACGTTGTTCTGTGATAACAAAAATGTACATCTTAATTAATGCTCATGCATTACCAACACGGAAAAACCGAAATTAATTTTTCCTGTGTTTCTATTAATCAATATCGGAGAGCATTGAAATGAAATGGAAAAGCATTTGTTTAATATATAGTATCACGAAGGTGCCACAATCATAGTGTACTTATGTAAAAAGAAAGGAAAAAATTTTAATAGTAGATTTACGTGTATAATTTTATTTTAATTTATATAGCAATCGCTTCACGTATTATGAAACTATTGATATAATTTTTTATATCTTTAAATGTTCAGATATTATACCAATCTACATATTATTTAGTATAAAAATATTTATTGATGCATGTTTAAAACGATGGACACAATTTTATTATTCTCCCTTGACTATATATCTCATTCTCACAGGCCACCTTTAAATACTATCGTCCCTTTGTACCCTTGCATTTAGGTTCTGCTTTCCTACACTTTCTCTGGTTTTTGTGTTCTAGTAATATTATTTAATCTTGTATAAAGTAGTTAGATGTATTTTTTAATTTGTATCATAGAAACGAAAGGGCATTCATTTCCATATTGGTATTTGCAGAGCATTCAAGTGCCTTGAAATCTCTCTTCCAAAATCTACATATTGTAAAACATTTTTAAAAAAAAGATATGTATACATGTGTAACATTCTCTGTACTAATATTTTACAAGTAAAGATAGTTTAATACGAAAAATTGTCAATTCATTCCTAACGATGCTGTTTTAATAATCAACATTCAAAAACGTCAAATTGCAGTTTATCAAGAGTCTTTATTTACAATTAATTAATTGTATTGGATTCCTTCTTGATATTCGTGATATTCATGGTATGCACCCAAATTTATCGCATAACGCTTTCAATTTTTTCATGTTCAGCAAGAAATTTAATGCAGTGAATCCTACTGTTATCCAAAGGCATAATTTATCTCTCATGCCACATTTTAAATATACCGGAAGATTATCGTCGCACTGTTTCCGTAAACGAAAAGTAATCGTCTATGTAAACACGATCTAATTCATACGATTATGCATTCTTTTATTTCACATCGATATCATGCGTACCTGCATTCTTGCTTGCTTTACTTTAAATTTCTGGAAAGCTTTCTCCGCGTCCGAATTAGGCCGATTTGTATAAATACATCGACGCAACGACACGACGTCCTTAGGAAACAGTTTCAGTCGAGCAATCTTTCCATACATCAGGAAAAAATCGTTTAATTCTCATAACGTAACGTTAAACGAGAGAAATCGCAATGATTAGAGTACTGAATGTCCAGTGTACAATACATTTACTTACTGTCAACATCTTGTAATATCATCGGGATTGAAATCACTACTTCTGTTCACTGCACTCAGACAAAATGTCCAAATCTGACTTTATAAAACAATCGAGCATCGCTAAAGCAGGATTACCTTTTTCAAATCCGTGCGGCTGCGTCACATCCGGTTCGCAGAGAAGTGTGCAATTGTCTTTCGCCTCCGCACAGTTGGCGGGACTGGAACCTAGTTTACCTAGATGGTGAGACAGTGGACGCATGCGTATTCGTGCCGCAACACAACAATCGTAAACAACATTTTTTCCATTCAGATTTCTCGCAAGTTTACGGCTGCACGATAATTAGCGCGTCCGGGCGGGCGCGTCATTAGTTTTTCCGCGTTTTCGTACGATTTCGCGGAGAAAATGGAGCCAGGCTTGCACGGCCTGTGCACGTGATACGTAAACTCGCGAGTTTCGGGCATGCGGTGACGTCATCCGGTACGTTCTGGAAGAACCCTGCAGGACAATAATGGCGGGTATGTACTCACATCGGCGAAACAATTATTGATTGCCAGGGGGTGATATACCGTGATCGGGGGTACTCATGTATTACGATTGTTCGGTTGCAGATTTGTATGCAAAATACAACTGCACCTATTGTCAAGAAGACATCTCGGGTTTGCGTGTAAGATGCGTAGAATGTCCGGATTTCGACCTCTGTTTGCAGGTGAGACGAGCAGATGAACGCCTGTTTCGTGATCACGTGGTACACGCCTCTAACACCCCCCTGACTCACTCCCCCCCTCCTCCGCGTGCTGCCGATCGCTGTCATATCTTTGTCTATCCTTCCGGTTTTACTAGATTTCGCGTGTCGTGATTCCTTTTTCAGTCCCCACCCTTTTTTGTCATCTGTTATTCTGTAAACTACCCCTACTACGTAGTCGCGACTTGAATGAAACTGCTGATCGCGAGCAAACGAATGCACGTCCACGTGGATTTAAGATATATGAACATTTACTTAATCCGACCCGAGGACGTACAAGTTTTCAATAATACATGTATATATGATCTTTTCGGATACGATTCTCTTTACTGTTTATGAATTTTACAGTGTTTTTCCGCTGGAGCTGAAATCGGTCCACACAAAAATGATCACTCCTATCAATTTATGGTGAGTATCGAGTTATGAATTTTAATTCTAGAACACGTGTATTGCACTTTTATGACTTTGGCGAAGCAAAATACTACTAGATCATTTCCAACCGTCTTAGGATTCCGGTACCATTAGTATATTTAATGGTAAAGGAAACTGGACTGCTAGGGAACATCTCAGATTATTGGATGCTATTGAACAATTCGGTTTTGGAAATTGGGAAGATATTAGCAAACATATTGAAACACGTACACCCGAAGGTAATTGTCATGCATCGCTTTATTATAAAGTACGATCCCGGTAAAGAAGAAACTAAGAATTAAGAATTTGTCTTGCAGAAGCAAAAGAAGAATACATTGCCAGATACTTAGAAGGCAATATTGGGAAACACACGTGGCCTCCAACTGAAAGCTACAGACCAAATCTGGTGGATCAGACTAAATCGGATCACGGACCCCTTTCACCGGATCTCACATCCCGGTTACCACCTTTGGATATCACTCCAGAAGAGGCTGCACAATTGGGATACATGCCACAACGAGACGATTTTGAAAGAGTACGTTTTGTATTATATTTCGCATCTTTGGTGACATTGTAGTTGCTTATACAATAATTCTATTCATTTTTTTATAGGATTACAACCACGAAGCGGAATCGCTTGTTTCCTCTTTATTTCTGAATCCAGCAGAAGACGATGACCTGGATATAGCGCTTAAACTTGCACAAGTAGATATGTACACCAATAATTTAAGGGAAAGAGCACGACGAAAAAGAGTCGTACGAGATTACCAGCTTGTTTCGGCGTTCTTCGCTTCGTCCAGGAAAGATAAGACGGTGAAAAAGAAGCAGACAAAGGAGGAAAAGTATGTTTTTACATTTTTTTTTAGGAAATATTGCATTTTGCTTTGTACAATGGTTGAATGAAAATTCGTTTAACTTGCAGGGAGTTCAGAGACAGAATACGAGTGTTTGCGCAATTTTATACAGCGCAGGAGTACGAACAATTCTTAACGAACCTCGAAAGGGAGAGAGAGTTGCGATTGCGTCTTTCAGAATTATACCGGTACAGGGAACATGGCATCACTAGACACGAAGAATGCACTCATTTCGAACAAGTGATGGTACAAACTCAGGGACAAAACGATGCCGTGGATCACTGGAATGAAAAGAAATCTGTAAGTAATCGTATCCACATGCTTACTAAGTTTAATTACGTCGAAATGGCAATTGTAACGTTTTCTGAAATAAATACTTTCGTCCCTTATTGCCTGTCGTAGAACACGTACTTGTACATTACGATTGATTCACTTTCGTACAATACACTTTCGTAAGAGCCAGTAAAACTTCGTCTAAAGTAGTTAACATTAAACGATTTTTTAGTTTTGTGGTATAGTATTTCTCCTATTTTTTTATTCTCGTGAAACATAAATACGAGAACAGAGCAGGGATAACCCGATAAAAATTGGGCGAGATTCGAATATGATATACAACAGAACGTTAATTATACCGCATACACGCTAGCTTTCGCTTCTCTTTTAACTAATTCGATTGTTTGTCATGCGTGTTGCCAGGCATTTGTGAACAGATTGTATCAGTTTGCATTTCACTTAGGGCAGCAGTGGGCCGTCCACACCAATACACCGCCACACCTCAAAAAAAAGGTACAGGATCATTCTAAACCTGACTAAGCCGGCAGCTTTGATTCACGATGATATAACACTGCGATGTAGATGACGTTACTATGCTAAGCCAGACGATTCTAGTAGAAAATAAGTTTTGCCTATTATTATAATTTTCAGAGAAGAAGAAAAAAGTTACTCTTCCACCGACCGAAAGTACACTGTAAAAGACTTTCCCAGCAGCAGCTTCTCAATCAGTCAAACCAATCCCAATCGGACGACGACTCCAGCCAATCAGTGGGCGGAGCCGGATAACAATCCAAACCCTTCCAGCCAGCATTCTACCAGCTCCAGTTCTACTGCGGAGAAATGTCACACTGCGATCACTTCTGGAAAATCTTGTACAACAACGGGAGATTTAGAAGAACGAAATATAGAAATGGAAGCTGCGGCTCATTTATTAACGAAACAAGAGAAATCTTTATGTGTCCAGCTTGACTTGAAGCCGACACAGTATTTAACGCAAAAGACGTTGTTGTTGCAAGTACGTATCAGATTTACACGCGCGCGTTTCCGCTTGTTCAGATCGTCTCTATCTACGAATCGTTTGATTGCAGGAGTATCTAAACGGTAACAGAAGATCAGGCGTTGTACCTCAGTCAGAACCAGAGAGTAAGATATTACATTACCTGGTAGCGAACGGCTGGATCGCGGCCAACTGATTAAAGATGTAAAAGAAAATTAACGACCATTTCAACTCTAAGTCACCTTCTACTTTGCGAACTAAGTCCTAGATGTAATTCAAATTTGAGTCTGATTTAATTAACATGCGTAGGGCAGGTAGAGAGAGAATGTGTGTACGTGTATATAATTTAATACGTAAAGATGTCCTTTAATCGCAGTTTTCCAATGAAAACTCGGGACGGTTAAATTTAGGTGATTCAGATCACTCTTTTTCATTGTTAGAAATTTTCATTGCTGTACATTTTTCTCTTTAAATTATTTCTTCATACTATGAACTTGAATTTTTATTGATCTTTTTATTTACATGAAATTAAGAGTTATTTGATTACCAGCTTTTGATATGCTTGATGGCTTTTCAAGATTCTCTTATTGGATCGTCACCGCCTTAAGAATTTCTGTACTTGATTTTAACAAGTATTACTTCGATCTTTTGTTTCATTTTTAATGTAATAATTTACATCACCTCTTTCGTCAAGGAAATCTCTTACACTGCCTTTATAGAACCATTGAACGTATTGCTCAATTAATTCTTCCACTCTAATATTTTCTTGTACAAACTATTAGTTGCACATACTCCTTTCTATCTGTTTCAAATGTGATTTGTTACCATGCTTGACAATAAGGAAATACATGAACTTATGTTGTAGTAGTAGTCGTTGTGTCGAGACTTTCAAATTGTTGTCCAATGTAACACACTTGAACGATTGGGAAATGTCCAACCAGGAACAGGAGATTAAACACTTGTTTCATACGTTAAAATATTAATGTAGCTGAGAGTTATGAAAGTATTGAATGTTATTAACTTAATAGTAAACGTAATGCCTTTAATGATATGTGCGCAACGACGCAGATCCTTCTTCACACTTCTAAGAAATATTTGTTCGTTGGAAAATGAATTCTAAATGTTTTACGCATGATTACATGATTCTTGTGCGACCCGATGTGCATTTTATCTCAGATTTAGAGAATATTCCTTATTGATAAAGAATGGTACAAAAAACAGATCGTAAAAGGACATTTGTTATTGCCACGAAGATAACACGATATTAGGTAATTTATCTGTTACCTGTGTAAAAAAAATATTACTATTTGTAAATACGAATGGAGAATAGTACCTTCCTAGTGATACTACTTTTAAAAGCACAAAAGTAACGGCGATATGATCTAAACGTTAAGCGTATAGTGTGATATTGGTGGTGTTCTAAACCAAACGCGTACTACAGAAAAAGACACGTTAATGATTTATGGAGAATTATTATTTTCCGTTGCACGATAGTGATCGATTCTAATTTTTAATACGAAACGAAAGAGAACGAAGACATTCGTATCGAATGTATGGATTTCTCCTGCATGCGCAGAGGAAAATATTCTTCAATGAATGTCTCAAACAGCTTCGAATCGCATTGGCTGCTTTCGTTCAGCGTAAACGTACTATTCTAGCGTCGGGGGATGACAAGTTGCTCCATTGCGAAATGTTTCTCATATTATGTCGTAACATTACATTTAAAAAATTGAAAAACCGAAAAAAAACATAGTCGTTTTGCTTCAAAGCAATTTAGTACTTCCCCAAATATTCACGCTTATCGACATCTCGAATGCCTCAAATTCGAGCGAAGAAATTTATCTTGTGCATTGTCATATGTATAAGTGTATAAAAAAATGTGAAAAAAAATTATATAAATATATATATATGTACATATGAAAAACAATGACTGCTCGCGATTGCGAGTGGCTTAAAAAAGTGTCACGTGTATAAAGAGGAGAAAAGAAAATTTTAAGGAAATAATTTTTGATTTCTTATTAAATGGCATATTGCTTAAGTACTAAAGTAGATCACAAAATAGGGATATAGCCACTCATATTTTTTACGGAGAGTAGAAGACTATCATCCCTTTTATTCGATGTAAACTTTATTTGTTCATACGATCTTCCGCGAGCAGACGTGATTATTATTCTGCGGACGCTTCTTTCAAATCCATTCTTATCACATATTTCCTGCTGTTTGAATACGGCTTGAAGGTCGATCGATGCGAGTTCCATTTCCTATTACTATTTTATTCCGCAGGCTTTGATTACTTGATTTTTACACATACTATGGTTTTTTCACGCTGGAAATAGGATAGTAAAATGGATTTTCAATCGATTTTAAAATCGTTTCAAATAACTTGCATGGATCGACTTGGCCGTCGTTCGATTATAATATTTCTGTAAGAAATGGTCCATCACGGATAAAAATCGTTCGACTAAACGAACGTCAACAAAGTTATCTCGAATGAAGAGGTCAGTACGCTTTCTCGTAGCTATTTAAAAAATGTAGTAATTTATAAGATCGTGGATTACAGGAGAGCCGACATCTATTAAAACTCACGGCTGTCATTCTGTTGTTTCAATTTTTATGGAAAATTTAGTGAAAAATATTTTCATCACTTTGTTTTTCTTATTATATGTTAAAAGAAAATTAATTGTAATCGTCTTTGCAAAGATCAGCAGTAAAGGACGAACGTCATGATTGATTTTTAATTGTATTATTTCGAGCTGTATTCGTGTAACAAATCAGAACTTTCTTAACAATGAGGAATTAATGTTTCGAAGCGAAATGCTTTAATCCTTGTACTTGAATCGAACAGTCGTTGGATGTATGAAATAAACTGTACAATAGGTATTTTCCCTTAAAACAACAGTTTTATTAATACTACGTCATTTACCAATCATTCATTCCTTACTCACCTTACAATTTTTAGAGCAGGTGAAAATTAAAATTACATTTCAATCACCGGTGTATTAAATCTTCAGGGAAACAGCAGCGTCTAATTAGAATAATGTTCTATTGCAATGACTCGTAGACTCTATGCACTGGATAGAGAATCGCGATCGTAGTACCGATAATAATGCGTCACCGTTGGACTTCGTCAACATTTCTTGGATCAGGAAGCCTTTGGCATCTATACATATAATTTACTTTGTTTTCCATATCGTACGTCCTCCATCCGAGTAATATTCCATTACCTTCCCCATTCTGATCGTTACTATGATTTGATAAATGGAAATAATTACTTCTTTTCCTCAATTAATGTATGTATTATACATTTATGTATTTATTGTCAAGGAAAGAGCTTTTTGTATCCTTTGCGACGTACTTCCCTATCCTTGGTGATTCCAACACACGACTACGCTACATCCTACACATATCAATTTGGATTCTTTACCCCTTGTTCCGCGATCATGTCATTCCAGTTTAATTCTGTCTGATCAATTTAATGAACCGCGGTTGACTAATTCCGGGAAACCTGGCGATATAAATTCATCTACGTGCTTATTGAATCTCGTGAATAAACCAAGATCGCATTGTCGTCGCGTACGAGATCTCGAGTAACTGCCTGTCCAATTATTTACTGTATTGCTACTGGAAGATGAATGCATAAGCAATGATTATCTGCTATCGACAATGAGAGAGAATAACGCGAGGCACGATTGCTAAATAGATAAAATCATCGCAGCCTTGCCGTCTATACGCCATGGGTTTCATGTCTCGGGATTACTAATGACGTTATATAAAAATTCATACGCAAAACAAATTTATCCTTTAATTCAGAAAGTTTCAAACACTCGTATTTAAATATTCCACTGTGGAGTGGATGAGCAAAACTTCTTATATGCATGTATCATAGAATTGTAAAAACAAGCATTAAACCAACTGATCGATGATAATAAGTTTCGTTAAGCATTATTACGGGAGAGTTACAAAAAGTTGGTGATGCAATCGTAAGGAGTGTTCGTTCTACGTTCCGAATCGAAGAAGAGTGACTAAAAAAGTTAACACTTCGAGCACTGGTGATTAATAGTACCAGGGCGAGAAAAACAAATAAAAACGTTAATACTTTTGATTATCTGCATTGCAGAAATGAATCGACGCTTCCTATCTTCACGGAATAATAATAGTTAGGACGTACGATTTATCAAAAGTAGAAAATACTGAGAATAAAAGCGGAATCGTTTAAGGATGTATAGGCTGTATACTTAATTCTAGCATGTTGAATTTGTTATTATAGATTCCTATTACTATTAAAAAGATAAAATTATAGTGATTTCAAATTTTTCATAGGTAATAGTATCACCTACAACTTTTACTTGAAGCATTTTTCAATATTTTGACAAAAAAAAAATTTTCGATTTTTCCGAGATTTTTCCAAGGGG